TTTGGGGTTTAAGGTTTAGGGTGTAGGGTTTAGTGCCCCCAAAATAATGAAAATCCCAAACAAAGGGGCCCCAATGTAGAGAGCTACCCATGTCTCGTTGTGCCCACCAAAAACACTTGTACCTCCTGTTCTTTGACTGCTTATGTACCCGTAGGGCCCACATCCTCTAGCTTATATCAAGGCTCCACATGCTGGCAGCCGTGCTGCACCCATCGCAGCCACAGCTTGCCGAGAAGTTGGGAAAATGAGCGTTTTGCAAGGGCCGAGCTCGGATAAGACTGGCTTAGGCTTCCGGGGTTTTATGGCTGGGGGTTTGGGGTTTAGGGTGTTCAGGTTCCGGTCCAGGGTTTCCAGTTCCTTGCGCGAGTTCAACCTATCATCGAAGCCAGCCCTTAACTTGGAGTCCTAATGTAGGGGCCTAAATAATTACCTACAGTATTTTGCGGGCTCCTTGTTACAATTACAATATAATGGGCCGCCACACCTTATTCGAATTATAAAGGCCTATATATTAAGCCCCAAGCCCTAAAAGCTGAACCCGGAACAATCAACCCAAAGTCCTAAGGCCCAAGGAAGTCTTCTGAATGTTTAGGATTGAGGGTTCAGGATCAGCGGGTTTAGGGTTTGCTAGAGAGCACATAGCTGCACTGACCATGACTTGCACATCGCGTTTCCTATCCCGCTGGCAAGTTCGATGCATGTTAATTGCAGGTTAACGCAATGGCATGTTTTGATGCCGACAAAGCAGGCCAAGGACACCAGCCAGGTCCCCACGTAGGAGATGTACTGGTCGCACACGGATGCAGTAGGATCTATATGGAACAACTAATAAGGTCAATGGGACCTAGAACGTACGCGGTTAGGACGTGATGCGGACATTCGGAGCTTTGTTTAGCTTTTATTTGGACACAACTTAGTGTATGTGAAGACGGAGATGCTTCAAGTCCATTCTGGATTTTAGGGTTTAGGGTTTAACCTAGGCCCGGTACCTTTGAAGCGGAGAGTCCTAAACCCTAACCTTAAACCCTAAACCCTAAACCACAAACCTTAAACCAGAAACCTAAAGCTTAGGTAGCTTTGCATGTTTTTGCAAGCCAGGAGAAGGCGATTTCACCGTTGAGGTGGGGGCATTTCCGGATCTGGACCCTGACATCGCTACTACGTTTAGGGTTTAGGGGTTTAGGGGTTTAGGGTTTAGGGTTTACCAAAACCTGCGTTATTTTGTAGGTTCTTCTTATAAGCCCTAGTCTAGAAATCATGGGGATCCTACAAAACGGTAGGTTTTGGTAGCTTAAGGTAGGGATTACGTGAGTTTTCAGGCTTGCAGGAAACCTGAATCCGGGAGCCCGTTGATTCCCAAAACTTCTCGGCATAAAAGATTAGGGTTTATGGTTTAGGGGTCAAGGTTTAGGGTTTCTCTCTTTCAAGTCCTTAGCAGGGTTTAAAATTTGGGACCTGCTGTTCACGGTCTCAGTCGAAAGCATGACCATTCAATCATCTGTCTCTCTGTCTTTCTCTCTCTCTCTCTCTCCTTTTGTTCCTGTACATGTTTATGCCGTGTATATGTATTTACATACTGTTGCATACGGAATGACATTGCGGACAGAGATAAGGAGGCAGACACTTGATGGATGGACAGAATGCCAGGGGCGAGAGGATTCAGTCAGTCGCATGTCCATGCATAAGAGATAGGGAAGAGAAATGGAGCAGAATAGGTAGGGGTATAGTCAGAGAATACTCACACACCACAATGCGTAGATACGTACATACATCCATTTTCACATACGCGCAGACTCGTTTAGACCACTAGTGACATCATCAAACTCGAAGGTAAGGTAGCCGCCACTCAGGCGCGAGCTAGATACACGAGTCGAAAGTTTCAGCTCAGCCGCATTGAAGGAGCCAAGACAGACCCCAAACCCACAGCCTATAGAACCCTGAATTACTTACTTATAGTATTCCTTAGGGCTCCTTACTACAAGTCTCACATTAAGGGAGTCCCAAACCCATTCTAATTAGTAAGACCCCTACATGCTTTGTCTTCGGGTTGAGATAGTTTTGGCTTCAGGGTTTCGTTGAGCAGTACATGTTCCGGTAGAGCCGCCAGAACTCAATCAGCGACATCTTACTGCCAGGCCGATCGGCCCAAAGTGAAAGCTTTGACTGACGAGCTTTTGCACCTTGTCGGAGGCGATAATGTTGACCGTTGAGGGTGAAGGTTACGTACTTCATCGTGCAAGTAATCTGCTCGAACATGGCTCGACCGCCTAGCACACAAGATCAGACTCGTCGTACACCACAATAGTTTCTGCACTTAGATCGAACATGGAAGGTGCTGCGACGGGATTAAAGGGCGTACTTGATGTTTTTTCGTCGAGCTACAAGCTGTGAGTGGTCTTGCACAGTATTCAATAGTGTGGCACGAGAGCATATGCACTGCCGGTCTAGCCTTCGAAGCACCGTCACGTCATGCATGAGGCTGGGGTCATCAGAGGTAGTCTAAAGAGCACCCTTGGCGTTCGTTGTCATGCAGGCCTGAAGTATAGAGAGCTTGTATTGGTACTGCTAGCTGTATGATGCAGTTCCAAATCATGAGGCAGGTGGTTGCTGTTGTTCCAAGTTCCGTGCTTTGGCAATGAACCAGTGTACTCAGAGCCAGGTGTACTTCAGGCTCACGCACGTGCATGAGCGCATGAGCGTGTGTGTGTGTGGGTGTGTGTGTGTGTGCTTTTGTGTGTGAGTGTGCTTGTGTGTGTGTGTGTCTGTGTGTCTGTGTGTCTGTGTGTCTGTGTGTGTGTGTGTCTGTGTGTGAGTGTGTGGCTGTGTGTGTCTGTGTGTGTGTCTGCAAACAGTTTCTGCTCTGTATGTGTGTTTGCCTGTCCGTGTAATTAGCGCTTACAGCTGTTCCATCCACCTCTTTTCCTCGGTTGGTATGTATGCATGCATGATATTTCTATCTGACTGTCTGCCTGCCTGACTGTCTGTCTGTCTGTCTGTCCGTCCGTGTGTGTGTGTGTGTGGTGTGTGTGTGTGTGTGTCTGTGTAAGTATGTATGCATGTGCACGTATGTATGTCTTCATACCTACACGTATGTATGCACGCATGTATGCACGCATGTATGCAGGCGTGCATGCTTGGATGTATGTATGTAGTGCAAGGTAATGCAATGCACTATAATTTCATGTCATGACATGTAATGTAACGGAATGGGACGCAATATAAGATAGTGTAGTGTAGCCTAGGTGGTGCATTGTGATGCAATGTCAGATAATGTAAGGAAATGTAACTTAGTCTAACTATAAACTTAGTCAGACGTATGTTTGTATGCATGTATGTATGTATGGATGTATCCTTGCCTTCCCTGCGCAAGCTGCAAACACGAAAAATCCCACTTACACAGCATTGACTGCCTGAGAGACTCCTTCGTCTTTTCTGTAGACATTTGTCTAGCAGCAGAGAGTGCATCATGCTCTTTGCGGAATCCTATCTATGTCATACATAAGCTGAGTGGGCAAATGTAGGGCAGAACACATGTGCATCGCACTGCTTGCCAAATTTGGCATGTAGAGCCGTCCAGCGAAGCTGCAGCACAATGTCATGCCATGAAATCAAGAGAAGCTTTGATTTCGCAATCTTGACTTGTAGACCCGGTGTAGCATGCACCGTTCTCGCTTGAATTGCTTGACTATTTACCACAGCCCCTCAGTTCAAGACTTGAGATATTGTTGCCTTCCAAGGCTACCGACACGAAGAGTAGACCCGAGAAAGCTGGAACATGCGTTTAGGACGACTAGTGCTGGGATTCCCTGTATTGTGGCACAGATCCACGAGGCTAATGATGCTCCAACTTTCTGTCTATGGCCTTGTGGCACTATGAAATGTAACTTAGTAAATTTGTTTTCATTTCTATGGAAACATCACAATGGCATGCAGTGTGCTGTACAGGCTGTATAGCCGTGTGACATCTTGTACTAACAAGTTCTGTAGTACAAGGCAAAGGAATATCTCAAACGTACAAATTCCATGAACGATATACACTCAGGCTCAAAGTAGCCCAGAAGCCTTTTAC